GCATCTATATAAAGCAGCAGTGTAGGGGAGCCAATCTAGGGTGACAAGGAGAAGAAAGGGGATAGGGAATCAGGACAGAGCAGCTCTGGGTTCTGATCCCAATTGTACCAACCTGTTGGGTGATGCTGAACAAATCACTCAAACCTCACTGAACTTCCACATCTTTAGCCCCAGAGTCTTTGTCTTGTGACATTTGGCACCTGTGGCTATAATAGGATTGGATGATCAGAGGTCCAACCTCCCTTCATTTTATAAATTGAGAAAATGCAGGTTCAGAGAATCAGAGGCCTTCGCCAAGGTAAACAGCAGAACTGAGGTCCATTATCAGGTTTTCTGATTCTAAATCCTCAGGTTTCATCCCATAACACCATGATGGTTAGGCTCATTATGAGGTATGATTTGTTTAATTTTTTTTTCAATTATCAAACTTTTTTTATGAGGCAGTTGGTAGCACAGTGGAAAGAGCACTGGGCCTGGAGTCAAGAAATCCTGAGTTCAAATCTGACCTCAGACATTTACTAGCTATGTGACCCTGGACAAGTCCCTTAAATTCCATTTGTCTCAGTTTCCTCAAATGTAAAAACAGTACCTATCCCCCAGGATTGTTGTGAGGATCAAATGAGATAATACTTATGAAAGTGCTAGCACAATGCCTGGCACATAGTAAGCACTATGTAAATGTGTATTCCCTCCCCTCCCCTGTTTTTCTTCCCTTCCAATGGAAAAAAGGAAAAGAAAACAAAACCCTACTATCAAAGAAGCATAGTCAAGCAAAACAAATTCCCACATTGGCTACGTCCAAAAATATGCATCTAATTCTACATATGAGTTCATCCCCTCTCTGTCAGGAAGTGGGTAGCATTCTTTATCATTGGTCCTCTAGAACCATGGTTGGTCATTGTGAGTCTTCCTCTTCCGTTAATCTGGGCAATTTATATTTTTGTAAATATTCATCCATTTCACTAAGATTGTCAAATTTATTGGCATACAGTTGGGCAAAATAGCTCCTAATTATTGTTTTGATTTCCTCTTCATTGGTGGTGAATTCACCTTTTTCATTTTTGATGCTGGTAATTTGGTTTTCTTCTTTCTTTTTTTAAATCAAATTCACCAAAGGTTTATCTATTTTATTAATTTTTTTCATAAAACCAGCTTAGTTTTATTTATTAGTTTAAGTTTTCTTAATTTCAGTTTTATTTATTTCTCCTTTGGTTTTCAGAATTTCTTATTTGGTATTTAATTGGGGATTTCAATTTGTTCTTTTTCTAGCTTTTTCAGTTGCATACCCAATTCATTGATCTCTTCTTTCTCCATTTTATTCATGTAAGCATTTAGAGATATAAAACTTCCCCTAAGGACCCCTTTTGCTGCATTCCATAAGTTTTGGTAAGTTGTCTCATTATTGTCATTCTCTTGGATGAAGTTACTGATTGTTTCTATGATTTGTTGTTTGACCTACTCATTCTTTAGGATTAGATTATTTAGTTTCCAATTAATTTTTGGAGTATCTTTCCATGGCCCTTTATTACATGTAATTTTATTGCATCATGATCTGAAAAGGATGCATTTAATATTTCTGCCTTTCTGCATTGAATTGTGAGGTTTTTATGCCCTAGTACATGGTCAATTTTTGTGTAGGTGCCATGTATCACCAAGAAAGAGGTATATTCCTTTCTGTCCTTATTCAGTTTTCTCCAGAGGTCAACCATATTTAACTTTCCTAAAATTCTATTCATCTCCTTAACTTCTTTCTTGTTTATTTTGTGGTTAGATTTATCTAGTTCTGAGAGGGGGAGGTCGAGGTCCCCCACTAGTATAGTTTTGCTGTATATTTCTTCTTGTATCTCCCTTAACTTCTTTAAGAATTTGGATGCTATATCACTTGGTGCATATATTTAGTTTAGTAATGATATTACTTCATTATCTATGGTACCTTTTCCCAGGATGTAGTTTCCTTCCTTATCTCTTTTAATTAGATCTATTTTTGTTTTTGCTTTGTTTGAGATCAGGATTGCTACCCTTGCTTTTTTTTTTACTTCAGCTGAAGCATAATATATTCTGCTCCAGCCTTTTACCTTTACTCTGTGTGTACCCCTTTGCTTCAAATGTGTTTCTTGTAAACAACATATTGTAGGATTATGATTATCTACTCTGATAACTGTTTCCGTTTTACGGGAGAGTTCATCCCATTCACATTCACAGTTATGATTACTATCTGTGTCTTCCTCTCTATCCTATCCCCCCCATTTATGCTTTTTTCTCTCCTTTCTCCCTTTCCCTCCTCATCAGAGTTTTGCTTTCAACCACCACCTTCCTCTTTCTGCCTCCCTTCTATTAGTCCCTCCCTTTTCTTCCCCTTTACCCTTTCTACTTCTTCCTTCCCTTCTATTCACCCCCTCCCTTTTCTTTTCCCTTTCCCCTCCTACTTCCTATATGGTAAATTAGATTTCTATACCTAACTGATTATGTTATTCCCTCTTTGAACTAAATCTGATGAGAGTAAGGTTCAAATAATGCTCATCTCCCTCCCTTCTTTCTCTCTACTGTAATGGGTTTTTGTGCCTTTTCATGTGATGTAATTTATCCTTGTCTGCCTCCTCCTTTCCTCTTCTCCCAGTACAATCCCTTTTTACCACTTAATTGGATTTTTTACCATCACATCAAAGTCAACTTATACCCAGGCCCTCTGTCTAAGTGTACCCCCTTTTAAACATTATAATAACATTACAATTCTCAAGAGTTACAAGTGTCATCTTCCCTTGTAGGGATATAAACAGTTTGCCCTTATTAATGATAATATGTTGTTGTTTTTGTTGTTGTTTGCTTTCCTGTTTACCTTTTTATACCTCTCTTGAGTCTTGTATTTGAAGGTCAAATTTTCTGTTGAGCTCTGGTCTTTTCATCAGGAAGATTTGGAAGTCCCCTATTTTGTTGAATGTCCATCTCCTTCCCTGAAAGATTATGCTCAGTTTCACTGGGTAGTTGATCCTTGGTTGTAATCCAAGCTCCTTTGACTTATGGAATATTGTATTCCATGCTCTCCAATACTTTAATGTAGAAGCTGCAAGTAATCCTGCAAGTAATGTAGAAGCTTCGTAATCCTGACTGTGGTTCCATGATATTTAAACTGTTTCTTTCTGGCTACTTGCAGTATTTTCTCTTTGACCCGGTAATTTTGGAATTTGGCTACAATATTCCTTGGTGTTTTCAATTTGGGATCTCTTTCAATTGGTGATTGGTGGATTCTTTCTATGGCTATTTTACCCTCTGGTTCTAGGACCTCAGGGCAATTTTCTTTGATGATTTCCTGAAAGATGCTGCCCAGGCTCTTTGTTTTTCCATCATGGTTTTCAGGTAGATCAATAATTTTTAAATTGTCTCTCCTGGATCTGTTTTCCAGGTCAGTTGCTTTACCAACGAGGTATTTTATGTTTTCTTGTATTTTTTTCATTCTTTTGTTTCTGTTTGATTCTTACTCTCTCATAGTCATTAGCTTCCACTTGCTCCATTCTAATTTTTCATGAGTTCTATTAGATTTTGTGCCTCCTTTTTCACTTGGCCAATTCTACTTTTTAAGGACTTGTTTTCTACAGTTAATTTGTGTCCTTCTTCTTCCAAGGTATTGACTCTCTCTTGCATACCTCTCATTTCTTTTCCCAATTTTTCCTTCTACCTCTTCTATTTGACTTTTTAAATGCTTCTTGAAATCTTCCAAGAAGGCTTTTTGGGCTTGAGACCAGTTCATATTCCCCTTTGAGGTTTTGGATGTGGGCATATTGACAATGTTGTCCTCTTTTGAATTTGTACCTTGATCTTCCCTTTCCCCAAAATAAGAATCTATGATCATTTTCCATTTCTGCTTTTTGTTCATGGTGCTTGCCTATTTCCATACTAAAAAAAAAAAATGCTGGAGCAAGGAGGCATTTACCCAAACTTCTTTTCCTGCTCACCCAGGCCTTGAATGTTTGGCTCCTGCTCGTCCAGGCCTCGCACAGGGATGTTTACCTACTAGTGGATGTCTGTCAGCCTAGAGCTTTGCCTTCTGGAATTGTGCTTCCCTGAGTTGTGTTGCAGCACTGGGTGATTTGGCTGCTGGAGAATGCCATTGCCAGTAGTGGTTTTCCAAGCTGGCGTCTACCGGTTCCCCTGCCTGTATTGAGGCTCTCGGGGAGGGGGGGATAGGGGTCCTGGTGTTGGCATTTGCCTGCTCCACCAACCTGGGTCTCACGATCTTCCCTTGGTATGCTGAGGTGGGCTTGCTGCTGGCTTGTTGGAATGCCTCCAGTCCTGTACTGCTCCCCCTCCCCCAGAACAAGAGGGGCCTTTCGCTCAAGCTTCCTGGGCTACAAGACTGCTGTGCCCTGTCTTTTTGCTGGCTCAGGGTTTTTCCTGGGTTGATATTTTCTGGGCTTTCAGAGATCAATGAGGGAGGGTGAGAGTGACTTACTTCTTATTCCACCATCTTGGCTCCCAGAAGTGAAGCCATTGTGAGTCTTTTGCTTCACTTTTACAATGCTGATGCTATCATCTAAATTGTCCTCCTGGTTCTGCTCACTTTACTCTGCATCAGTGCTACAACTCTTCCCTGGAACCTCTTCTTCCTCATTTCTTATAGCACTCATATATCATAATTTGTTTAGTCATTGCTCAGTTGGTGGACATCCTTTTAGTTTCTAGTTCTTTACTGCTACATAAAGAACTGCCATAAATATTTTTGTACATTCGAGTCCTTTTCCCCTTTGTTTATCTCCTAGGTGTATAGGCCTGATAATGGCATTTCCAGGTCAAAGGGCACTGGTTAGTAACTTTTTGGACATAGTTCTGAATTGCTTTCCAGGAAGGATGTACCAATTCACAGCCCCATCAACATCAATTGCATCAATGCGCTCGTCTTCTATGGAGTGTGATCTTGACATTAGAGTACAAGCTCCTTGAAGGCAGGAACTCTTTTTCATTTTTTAATTGTATTCCTAACAACCAGCACAGTGCCTGGCATATCAATGAATCTTTAATAAATGATCATTAATTTGGATTGAACTGAATTGGTCACAACACTGTGTGCTTGGCAAACTTTTCAATAGTTTATTCAGGGCCATTGGTTCCAATATCCAGGCACCCATATGATGTAAGATTATTTTGAGTTGCAAGTATGTGACCCAGGTGAATTATATTATTCGGCTGGTGAAGAAATGATACAATTAAGGATTGGAAAGCTTGCACAGAAACTCAAGACAAAAACTGTCTACAAGGCTATGTAGAGAGGCGCCATTGCTCTGGGAATCCGAGAACTAATAAAGGCATGGGATGCTGGAAGGAGCTGGGCTCAGCCACAGCCCAGCAGCTTTAGACAGCCATGTGCTGTTTGTATGGGATGTGCAGGCCCCCATCCTGGAGATGAAGTCACCAAAGCTCTCTCCTGGTTTTCTCCAAGGCGAAAATCTAAGTGACCACAGTACCCTCTTGTGTCTAGGGGAGGGAAAACCATTTGAGACAGAAATGGAGAATATCCAGCTTACATTCACTTCAACAAGCATTTACTAAAAAACCAACTAGTTGTAAAAGCACTGTGCTAGGCACAATGGGGGTATAGAAGCAAAATGGAACAAGTTCCTGCCCTCAGGGAGCTTATAGTCTATTGAGGTATTTGGTTTTGGTCCCTAACCTGTAATTTCACTGCTGTAGGGAATTCTGGATATGGAAACTCTAAAGCATATTAACATCAATTTAGAGTCTTTAGAAACTTGCCTGGGACTATGGAGAGGTATGGGCCCAGGGCTGAAAAACCACCCAGTGTTAAAGGTGAGACTTGAAGCCAGGTTTTCTGGCCTTTGAAGTTGGCTCTCAATCCACTACTCTATACTGCCCTCTCTATAAGGGCACATTCAAACCAACATTTAAATGTTCTATGTATTTCACAAAACACAGGGGAAAAAATCGAAGGGTTAGAGATAGATTTTGAACATCTGATGTTTAAAGCCAAACCCGACTGAGTGCTTAGCCAGTAGCAATAGCTAGCATTTATATAAGACTTTAAAGTTTACAAAGCACTTTACAAATATTTTCTCATTTTACCTTTACAATCAACCTGGGGAATGTGCATTATTATCTCCATTTTATTTCTTTATTTTTTGTCTTTTTTGGAGGCAATTGGGGTTAAGTGACTTATCCAGGGTCACACAGCTAGTAAATGTCTGAGGCTGGATTTGAACTCAGGTCCTTCTGACCCCAAGCTGATGCTCTATCCACTGTGCCACCTAGCTGCCCATCCCCATTTTACAAACAAGGAAACTGAGGCAAGCAAGTGCCAAGCAATTTTTTGCTCAATATCACACAGCTAATATTAAGTTGGAAGTCAGATTCAAACTCAGGTCTTTCTGGACTATAGGTCAAGTGTTCTGTCATCCACTGTGCCACCTAACTGCCTGTTAGTGAAAGGGAGAGGGACTTTTTTTGGAGTATCCCAGGTTTTTCATCATGCAGATTGGTCCATTGACTTGTGGCCACTTCCAGCTATCACCTAGTGATAATATGAGCCAAGATATGAAAGGAAATGCAATTAGCAATAGAAATGTCCTCTTGGTTGGTGTAGCCAGGCTCTTCCACACAATCTAACCATGCCAAGGGGAGCAGAGAATCTCATGAGTCCTTCCAACCATGCGGCAAGGGCATCCTTCGCCCCTTGGTCACCCTCCCTCTTCCACCGAGCCTCACATGCCAAGCACCAACAGGAGGCCAGGCAGCACCCAAGCCCACCTTACCTTCTTTTCAAATTCTTCTCCCTGCTTCACTTCCCGAGGGTAGCCATCTATCAAGAAGCCCTTGGATGTCTCAACCTTGGCAATCATGGCATCTCTGAGCATATCCAACACAGTATCCTGGGGGAGAGAGGTAGGGAGCAGGGGAAGGGGGAAGGAATTGACAGGGAGAAAAGATATGTGAGTCTTCTTCTTGTTGTTCAGTTGTGTCCGACTCGTTGTGACCCCATGTGGGGTTTTCTTGGCAAAGATACTGGACTGGTTTGCCATTTCCTTCTCTAGCTCATTTTACAGAGGAGGAAACTGAGGCAGAGTTAAGTGACTTGCCTAGGGTCACAAAGCTAGTAAATGTCTGAGGCCAGATTTGAATTCAGGAAGATGAATCTTCCTGACTCCAGGCCTGACTCTCTAACCACTGAGCCACCTGGCTACCCAGGAGCCTTTTTGGACCCTCTTCAAGATGCCTTTGATCTCTTCTCACACCTGCTGGCCCCGTTTCCTATCCTCTCTTTTCTACTACTCTAAATCCAAAGTATCCTCTGAAAGCCCAGCTCAGGCCCTACTACAGCTCAGGAAAGTTACTATGGACCACACCTAACCCTCCATCATCTGAAATGCAAAGATACTTACTATCTAAACCACATGGCTTAGATGTGAATTATATTCTGTCTTGTACTGCTGTATAGTTGGGGCTTCTGACTCCTCCCCAACTAAATCGTAAGCAACCTCTCCTTCTCCCAGCACAGCTAGACACACAATAAGGGTAGGCTCACAAAAGAGCTGCTGATGGATTAATTTTCAGAAGCAAATGGTAGAGCAAGAATTTTGAGGATCATTGATTGTTCTGCCTCCTCTTTCCTCTGCCCTTTTGCTCTCCCGATTTCACCCTGACCCATTTATTTCCCCCTCCTACTTAAGCGTATTGGGACAGTAGTAATAACAATAACTAATAGTAACCATTATTATTTGTTGTCTATCATTAATTGACTGATTAGTAATCCCTAACATGAGAGGCATTGTGTGGTATAGTAGATGGAGAACCAGCCTTGGGAGTATGAAGGACCTCCATTCAAATCCCACCTCTGACAAATGCTAGCTGTGTGACCCTAGCTACATTACTTAACTTCCTCAGGCAACTCTCTAGGACAATAAGTTACAGACAAGTTGCTGATCTGCATCAGTGGAAGGTTCTTCCACACTGGGAGTGCCCTACCTAGATGCGATCACAAGTCTAGACAACATACACCCAAACAAGATATCCCTAACATGTCTGTGGCGTGTTCACCATTTATATAATGCTTTCCCAACCCCAGAACATTCAACAGATTATAGCTTGAGGATAGGCATTGTCTCACCTTTGTCTTTATATATCCAGCACCTAATACAGTGCCTAACACATCAGTAGTTATTTAAGAAATGCTTGCTGACAGCTCTTTTTGTGGTGGCAAAGAATTAGAAATTGAGGGGATGTCCATCAATTGGGGACTGGCTGAACAAGTTGTGGTATATGAATGTAATGGAATACTATTGTGCTATAAGAAATGATGAACAGGCAGATTTCAGGAAAACCTGGAAAGACTTAACACGAACTGATGCTAAGTGAAGTGAGTAGAACCAGGAGAATGTTGTACACAATAACAGCCACGTTGTGCAATGACTAATATTGAAAGACTTAACCCTTCTCAGCAATACAAGGATCTAAGACATCTCCAAAGGCCTCATGACGGAAAATGCTATCCACATCCAAAGAAAGAACTATGGAGTTTGAATGCAGATCGAAGCATACTATTTGCTCTTTTTTTTCTTCTGTTGTGTTTTGTTTTCTCTTTCTGGTGGTTCCTCTTATTGGTTCTAATTCTTCCTTACAACATCGCTAATGTGAAAATATGTTTAATAGGAATGTATATTATAGCCTATATCAGATTGCACACCATCTAGGGGAGAAAGATGGAAAGGGAGGGGGAGAAAAATTTAAAACTCAAAAGCTTATGGAAGTGATTGTTGATAATTCAAAATAAATTAATAAAAAAAATGCTTGCTGAATTAAAATGTATTCAATTTAACAATGCAGGGCCCCCTCTATGAAATCAATGATGGCTCAAAAGAAATTTGCCTAATAGTCCAGATCAGAAAAGCTAGAATGAAAAATCATAACTATGATATGCAATCAGGAGGCCAAGAATTCATTTAGCTAGCACATCAGAATAGAGATCTAGCAAAGATGCTATAAATAGACAGCGAGGAGGGCCCAGATTGAAAGGAGCAAGAGAGTAGGAATGATGCCACTTGGGAGGTTGCTACAGTACTTTAAATGATCCCAAGCTGCTCCCCAACACCAAAACCTAATTTTCTTAAAAAACATAAGTATTTTCCCGGGGATGATCAGTCACTGTGAATCTTTAAATCACCACAATCGCTGAAGTATCAAGGTCCCGTGTAATCCAAACATCAGTGGAAAGATGCAGGATGGGTGTGAATAGGCTGACACATATTTTCAAGGATGACTTTTGCACAAGAATAATAAAGGGACTTGGTGAGGAAATGTAGGATCAGAAAAGGAGGTGGGCCAGTCATGTATCAAGAGTGAAAGATGACATGGATGGCTTGAACACTGCATTGGCACCCACAAAATGGAAAAAGGCTTAGAGGGGGGCAGCTAGGTGGCGCAGTGGATAGAGCTCTTGCTTTGGAGTCAGGAGGACCTAAGTTTACTCAGGCACTTGATACTTACTAGCTGTGTGACCCTGGACAAGTCACTTAACCCCGATTGCCTCACCAAAAAAGCAAAAACTAACAATAATAATAATAGTAATAGTAAATTTTAAAAAATAGAGAGAATGAAACTGAAGTTCAGAGAAATAAGCTGATTACTCTATACCCTGTAGGATAGAGAAATAAGAGAAAAATCAGAACTTTCGTTCTTCTGGAAGCATCTTACTCCCCCTGGGGAAAGCACAGGTGGGGATATTCATATACAGTCAATGATGACTCTTCTTCCCACCCTCCCAATCCCCACTAAGTTCCCAGAATACAGGCACACTCTAAACACTCAGCTAGATTCCAGTTTGTTGGAGGCGAACCCTGTCCCCAGGCTTCAGTTGATATCAGCCCTGTGGTCCCATTGTGCCAACACCGCTCCTCCCCTCCTCCCCCTTAATTGCTGCTTACCAAGGGTACCAGTTGTCCTTTCTCCATGATTTCTGACAGTTTCTTGCCCCTATCAGAGCCAGAGCTGACTTCTGCCCGCAGGAGATCGCCAGTGGATAGATGTGTATAGCCATATTTCTCAACAATCTTCTCGCATTGGGTCCCCTTTCCTGAGCCTGGTCCACCTAAAAGAACCATAGACACCCCTCCCCCAAATGTCATAGCTGGAAGAGATTTTAGAGATGTTATAGCCCAACCTCTTCATTTTACAGGTATAGAAACTGGAGCTCTGAGGAGAAATGAATAGCTTGCCCTGGGTCACACAGAAAGTGGCAAAGCCTGGGCTAGAATAATAATAACACTTCAACTCTATGCCTTTTCACTGGCTGTCCTCACCTCTACCTCCTGGCTTCCCTGGCTCCGAGATTAAGTTCAAATCCTAGCTTCTACAAGAGGTCTTTCCTGGTCCCCACCCCATCTTCCCTCTGAGACTACCTGCCATTTACACTATACATAATCTTGTACGTAAGAAGTTGTTTGCATGTTGTCCCACCCATCAGACTGTGAGCTCTTGGAGGGCAGGGACCTTATGTTTCCACTTCTGCATCTCCCTAGTGCTTAGTATAATACCTGGCATATGAGCTCCTAAGAAATGCTTGTTGACCTGTCGACTGACTCACATTTATATAACATTTGACAAATTGCAAAGGGCTTTCCTCACAACAATCCTGTGAAATAGATAATGCAATATGACAATCCCCTTTTTAAAGAGGAGCAAACTGAGACTCTAGGAGGTTAAATGACTTGGCCAAAGTCACGTATTGCAGCAGAGCCAGGAGTGAAACTCAGTTCTCTCTGTCTCAGACACTTACTAGCTGTGTGACCCTGGGCAAGTCAGTTAACCCTGATTGCCTCCAGAAAAAAGAAAGGAAGAAAGGAAGGAAGACAGGAAGGAAGGAAGGAAGGAAGGAAGGAAGGAAGGAAGGAAGACAGGAAGGAAGGAAGGAAGGAAGGAAGGAAGGAAGGAAGGAAGGAAGG